ACCACACAGGTGACAGCAGTGGTTCAGAGTCTACCACACTGGTGACAGCTGTGGCTCAGTCTACCACACTGGTGACAGTAGTATCTCAGAGTTTACCACACTAGTGACAGCAGTGGCTCATAGTCTACCACACTGGCGACAGCAGTGGCTCAGATTCTACCACACTAGTGACAGCAGTCGTGTGAAGTCTACCACACTGGTGATAGAGGTGGTTCAGAGTCTACCACATTTGTGACAGCAGTAGTTCAGAGTGTACCACACTGGTGACAGCAGTGGTTCAGAGTCTACCACACTGGTGACAGCAGTCGTGTGAAGTCTACCACACTGGTGATAGAGGTGGTTCAGAGTCTACCACACTGGTGACAGCAGTGGTTCAGAGTCTACCACACTGGTGACAGCAGTCGTGTGAAGTCTACCACACTGGTGATAGAGGTGGTTCACAGTCTACCACACTGGTGACGCCAGTGGTTCAGAGTCTACCACATTGGTAGCAGTTTAGTTTAATATGTTTATTATGCACCCCATACCCATCCTGTGGGCGGTAGTCAAAAGATTACAGAGGTACATAATGGGTCCAGGGACTGGGCCTCAAAGTTTTGATAGCTTAGCAAGTTACAGAGGTAATGAATTCACAATTTACAAAGGTAATGAACTCACAATTTACAAAGGTAATGAACTCCAGGTAGGTCTAGTCACAATCATGACAAGTTACAAAGGTATTTACAGATTACAGAGGTACACAATGGGTCCAGGGACCGGGCTCCAAAGTTTGATGGCTGAACTGGGTACGAGGTAATAAACCCTCACAAGTTACAAAGGAAATAAATACTGTAAGAATGGTTACTTACGTTTATACATGGCTGCAATCATGAATAAATTTTAGAGTAATGAGCAATTCACACTTCCACACCCGGTCACAACACACACACACACACACACACACACAAAACACACACCACACACACACACACACACACACAAAACACACCAAAACTCATACACACACACGCACACACACTCATACACACACACACACACTCATACACACACACACACTCATACACACACCCCTCATACTCACACACACCACACACCACACACACACACACCACACACACACACACACAAAACACACTCATACACATACACACAAACACACCCCACACCACACACACACACACACACACACACACACACACACACACACACACACACACCACACATGCACTTATTTGGTAATGCTTTTTTACAGCTAGCAAAGTCACGGTATTTCTCCGAATGGTCTGTAATATACCACTGGGGGATAAAATACTTAGCCATTTCTTGAACCCTTCTGAGTGAGTTGTTTCTAAATTCATTAATTTTATCGCACTTCCAGTACATAATGACGCAGGGTGTGACAATAATCCATCGGGCAAAGTTTACATTTCGTTTTGTCTACATCTGGTGGTGGTGATTTAACCTGCCAAAGATTATTGTAACCCAGCCGGACCCGGGCGGTAGTGACACCAAGAGTTGCTTATTTTTTTGGATGCACCATAGACATTGTGGCCCCTCCTGCATTGATAAAATGATGATAGATGGATCACTGGTGTCAATCTCCCTGAGCCTTAAGTCCATAAAATCCAGCTGAAGTTCTTTTCGTATTATTGTTCTCAAACTACTACCTGACAAGCCAAGATTGTAATTTTACTTCCCTCTTTGAAAGCATACAGCTTAGCCAATTATCAGTTCTATCATGCATCTGAAGACCAATGTGAGATGGAATCCACAGCATGTGCACTCTGACTCCACTGCCCACAATCCTACCATACCTGTGTCTGGCTTCTGACACAAGCATGCCACAATTTATGCTTAATGAGTTGAGAGCATTATGGATGACAGAGAATCAGTTAAAATTTTAAACTGTCAATCTTTGATACATAGTTTGCATTTCAGTGCAAGGAGTTGGCAAACAGTTCTGTCTGAAGGGTAGAGGCCCAATTATTGATGCGTGCTCCAATTTCTTTAAGAGAGCCATCACTCTGTACGACAACCAGCAGCACTACCAGCTGAAACCAGTGGATTGGGGTGAACAGAACCATCAACTTTAAATAATTTGCGAGGTGTGTGCTGTGTGACTAATTTAAATCAATACAGCTTAAGGCCTCATGTTTGGCTTCAAGGCGAAGTTTTGGTTGTGATTTAAGAAGAAAGTTTGGGGGGAAAGGGGGGGGAATGGTAGTTTGGAATGGGTAATATTCCATGGAAGCGGAGAAGTCCCGCTGTTGCCTTACTTGACATAGATCATGTATCTGATTCATGCGGAGGTCGGTTCCAGTCTTTTCGATCCATCTGGAGGAGTGTTTCACCAGTGCTGAGGAAAGTTTGGAGGGCTTCTGTGCAGGGGTTTGAATGAGCTTGCCTGAGCATATTAACCCCAATTAGGATATTTCTTTCAGTAACACGATCTCTGATGCTTGGAATATCAAGTTCTTTTTGCATTTTTAAAAATTTTTGGGCAGTACGAGGGCATCCTAGGATGATCCTCATTGCTTCGTTCTGCAGTTTTTCCAGCCCTCCAAGCTTCCAGCAGACACAAGAGAAAAGTAGTGGCGCAGCATAATCAACCAATGATCAAATTATAAGCAAGATACATCATTTTCACAATTTTAACATTAGCACCATACCTGGGGTGAACCCCTGCCACAACTCTAAGTGCTCTTAGTCGTTCTTTGTATTGGTGACAAAGTCTTGTTACAACAGGTCCAAGTAGTGGAACCTCAAAGCCTAGATACCTGTATCTGCTTACATATTCTAGAAGAGACCCATCATGCAAAATTTGGATCTGACGAACTGTGCCTCCCCTGTCGAGGAGACGCCTATTGAGTATCTTTGTTTTATCAGTAGAGATTATCAACCCCAGGTCCTGACACGAGGCTAGTACACGATTAAGAATGTTTTGGGTGTTGGAGAATCCGGTGGTGTGAATCATTATATCATCAGCAAAACTAATCACATAATTATGGGGCTGACTAGGCATAGCATTAATTAGAATATTGAACAGTGTGGGACTGAGCACACCTCCCTGTGGGGTTCCTAATTCAAAGTCTTTAGTTACACTTCTATGTCCCTGGAACAACACAGACGATTTTTTGTTGGACCCGGGAGCCTTTAATCCAGCGGGAGAAGCCATCCCCCAACATCCATTCTGGCAAGTTCACTAATTATTACATGTCGGTTGGCTACATCGAAAGCGGATTTAAGGTCAAGGAAGGTAGTGTAGGAGCTGTCAGTGTGCAGGGTGAGAAAGGTGGCTATGCAATGATGCACGCTCCTTCCATGCATGAAACCAAGTAACCCGGGGAGACAAAATTGTTTGATTCTGTACATGAGACGATTAAGAATCATTCTCTCAAATGTTTTACACAAGCAGCTAGTAAGGGGATATTGGGCGAAATGCGTTTTGTTTTATTGGGGTTTGGAATTGGGAAAGATGAGGCTGTTGGTCCAAGATTGAGGAGCTCCCAGTTACATAGCTCATGTTATATAATTCATGTAATGGATTACCTGGGACTCGACACAGCAATCTGAGTATGTTGTAAGTAATACCATCCTCACCAGGCGACGTGGAGGTTGCCCTTAGTTAGCGCTGCATCAAGTTCATAATTAGTGAAAGGAATGTTGCAATCATCTGCCTTACTGAGCATAAAGAAAACAAGTCTCTCCCTTCATCATATTTGTCATTTAATTTTGCCTGTTTTGGTACTGGGAAGATTGTCATAGCTAGAAGTAGCAGCCCCAAACACTGACTAACTCATTTGCCCTATGCAAGGGGAAGAGGGTGCGCGATCTGCCCAGTTCGTTTACCCTTAATTCTATTTATGTCCCTCCATGCCGCTTAAATGGGGTGTGAGGGATTAAGACCGTTGACAAATTTTTCCCAGTCGGTTTGCCGCAGCTCTGTATACGCTCTCTGGCAGCAGCAAGGGCAGTTTGGAAGAGCCTCAGCATTCCAGGGGTACGATGTTTTCTATAGGCTAGGCCTAGTCTGCGAGCAGCACGTTTCAGTGTACGAAGTTTAGAATCATTGTAATAAGTTTGGTTTTTGAAGGAGGTATGATTATTATGGGAAATTTGTTGGGTTTAGAGTACCAAGAGGTTGCAGTGGCGGCTCTAAGTAGTTTGAATAATGCTCACAAAATCATTGTTAAAGGTCTCTACGAGGAAAAATCATAGGAATTATTTCCAGTCAGTCACATGTGCAACAAAGTCATCATGCTGATCTGTGGGAACATTAAAACGTTTCCGTTTGAATATCCCACCAGGAAGGATAGTATTACCAAAAATCTAGAGAGGTTAGCCTAGGGAAATGATCAGACGCTATATCTGTTACAATGGAAGACTCACAGCTGGCAGAAGTAATGTTGAAGCCCCGGCACAGATCAAGGATGCCTCCATAGATATGTGTGGGTTCAAGGTCACCTACAATTTGGACATTATCATGACTGTTTAAGAGTGACAACAGTTGATTGCCATTACGATTACCAAACTGGGAGTTTCCAATGCTTTTGTGTTCGCATTGTAATCGCCAATAATAAGAGTAGGCTCAGAATGAGCACAAGTTGGGAGCTCCAAGTAATTAAATTTATCAGCAGGAGCATACAAGTTAAATATGTTGAGAGCAGAGTTCCCTATATAAATCCTAACACCGTGATATTGTAGCCCCTCTGTTTTCTTGTGTGCAAGAAGTTGATGGGGAAGTGATTTTTTAATATATAGAACACAAGAGTTAGTAGATTTGAGGTTATATGCAACAAATGATGGTAATTTAGGGGGTTGGGATTTTTCAGGGACTCTGCACTCTTGTAGACACACAACATCAATGGGTTCGGTGGTTACTTTACATTGGTAGCAGCAGTGGGATTTCTAACAGTGGTGTTAATGGAGGGATTAATTTTATCTGTTATAACTGGAGCCTCCACTGACGTAAGTAATTACCCCTGTCTGTCTGTCCTCAGCACTGAAGATGAGTACCATAGTAGCTGAGAGCATCCTGTTCATCCTAGCTGGCTACGACACCACAGCCAACATGCTCTCCATTGTCTCCTTCCTCCTAGCTCAGCACAGGTCCCTGCAACAGCGCCTTCGTCAGGAGATGAGAGAGATCGCTGTGGATGGAACTTTCACCTACCAAGGTGTCATGGAGGCCAAATACCTGGATGCTTTCATCTCAGGTGTGTCTGACACCATAAGCAGCTTTGGGCATGGGTATGACAGGGCTTCATGAAGTTAGGAATAATACTGGGTGCCAGTAATGGCTGGCTTAGAGGCAGGGCCCAGGAGCTGAGATTCGACTCCCTCCAACCACAAGTACCTACATGCACTAGTCAACAATAGAAATAATAATAATAATAATAATGTAATAAATAAATAATAATAATAATAATAATAATAATAATAATAATAATAATAATAATAATAATAATAATAATAATAATAATAATAATAATAATATATTATTATTATCATTAACAGAAGCCCTGAGACTGTACCCAGTAGCACACTTCACAGAGAGGCAGTGTACTAAGCCTTACACGTAAGAAACTGTGCAAGTTCTAACACCTGAAAAAACATCTGTAACTGACGACAATACAGGTGTGACGAACACCTATACATGCTGAAGGGCAGCCCACATGTAGACGGGGTAATTGAGAGATGGAGGACTTGGTTAGAGTCGAAATACTAGTAGAAACATCAATTTCTTCTGATATTCTTCTGATTGCATGTGTCGTGCCCGCCAGCATACCTGTTATTGTATGATTTATAACAGGTTTCTATGCGTCTAGTCTACTGTAGATTAATTTCGGGTATGTTTATCATATTTCGTCTAAAAGAATGGTCTTCCTTTTTTGTGTTTTAGCGTTCCTGGGACCAAGGTGGTCCTTACTGAGAAGTCTGTAATTGGTATACCAATCTGGAGTCTTCACCACGACCCTCGCTACTGGTCTGACCCTGAGACCTTCTCTCCAGACCGCTTCCTGCCACACAACAAAGACCAGATTAAGTCAGGCACTTACCTGCCATTCGGTTTAGGACCAAGAAACTGTATTGGTGAGTAGTCTGGCTCTGTGTTGGTCTCCTGAGAAGTATCATACCTACTTCTGAAGCTATGTTTGCATTTTGCTCTAGAAACATTACTTCAAGAGGTTCATGCCATCCGTCTCATAACACTATGGCTGAAAAAGTAATTCACACCATCTCAGGCTCATCTGTGATAGCTGTGTCATGTTACACCTGCGTCATCTTGTACCTGTGTCATCTTACACCTGTGTCATCTTGTACCTGTATCATCTTACACATGTGTCATCATCTTACACCTGTGTCATATTATACCTGTGTCATCTTGTACCTGTGTCATCTTACACATGTGTCATCTTACACCTGTGTCATATTATACCTGTGTCATCTTGTACATGTGTCATCTTACACATGTGTCATCTTGTACGTGTGTCATCTTACACCTGTGTCATCTTGTACCTGTGTCATCTTACACATGTGTCATCTTACACCTGTGCCATCTTACACCTGTGTCATCTTGTACATGTTTCATCTTACACCTGTGTCATCTTGTACCTGTGTCATCTTACACCTGGGTCATCTTACACCTGTGTCATCTTACACCTGTGTCATCTTACACCTGTGTCATCTTGTACATGTTTCATCTTACACCTGTGTCATCTTACACCTGTGTCATCTTACACCTGTGTCATCTTGTACATGTTTCATCTTACACATGTGTCATCTTACACCTGTGTCATCTTGTACATGTTTCATCTTACACCTGCGTCATCTTACACCTGTGTCATCTTGTACATGTTTCATCTTACACATGTGTCATCTTACACATGTGTCATCTTACACCTGGGTCATCTTACACCTGTGACATCCTACACCTGTGTCATCTTGTACCTGTGTCATCTTACTACTACTAATACTATTAATAATAATAATAATAATAATAATAATATAATAATAATAATAATAATAATAATAATAATAATAATAACAACATTACAGGCATGAGGTTCGCCATGATGGAGGCCAAGTTAGTGCTAGCCAAGATACTGCTACACTACGAGATAACTTGTGTCCCTGGTCAAGACACCCTCACTTTTAGTGAAATCCCTGGTCTCATGAGACCCTCTGAAGACCTCTCCCTAGTCTTCACACCCATCACTCAGTGAGTAAGACCTCCGAGAAATAGGGAGTATCACCCTATTTCTCAGAGCAAACCTGAGATTCATGATCCAATTGATGTGAAATCAGCACAAAATAAAATAGGAAATCTAACGCGTTTTCGAAAAAGTTCATAGTTTGGGAAGTGGGTCACTGCAAGTGTACACCTGAGTGCGCTGACAAGGAGCTTGTGCAATCAGAGAAGCACCTGAGTGGCAGAGGTGTACGGGAGATCATGGAGGATGTAAAATTGGAGTAATGTGAATTGAGGAAAGACATGATGGAAGACAGTCTGTTTTACTGTCTTGTATTAGTGGGTGGCTCTGGTGGCCTGGTGGTTAACGCTCTCGCTTCACACGGTGAGGGCCTGGGTTCGATTCCCAGCCAGAGTAGAAACATTGGACGTGTTTTCTTTCCACCTGTTGTCTATGTTCCCCATCAGTAAAATGGGTACCTGGGTGTTAGTCGACTGGTGTGGGTCGCATCCTGGGACACTGACCTAAGGAGGCCTGGTCACAGACCGGGCCGCGGGGGCGTTGACCCCCGAACTCTCTCCAGGTACTGGTAGCAAAAACCTTCCCGGTACTAGCTAGCAGCACCTGCTAGGTATTAGCTTGCAGCACCTCCCGAGTACTACCTAGCAGTACCTCTCAGGTACTGCTAGCAGCACCACCTAGGTACTGGCTAGCAGTACCTCCCAGGTACTGGCTAGCATCACCTGCGAGGTACTAGCTAGAAGACCTTCCAGGTACTAGTTAGAAGTACCTCCCAGGTACTACCTAGCAGCACCTTCCAGGTACTGAGCTAGCAACACCATCCAGGCACTAGACAGGAGCACCACACAGGTACTAGCTAGCAGCACCACCCAGGTACTGGCTAGCAGCACATGCCAGGTACTAACTAGCAGTACCACCCACGTACTTCCTAGCAGTACCGCCCAGGTACTAGATACCAGCACCTGTCAGGTATTAGCTAGAAGCACCTCCCAGGTACTAGTTAGAAGCACCTCCCAGGTACTACCTAGCAGCACCTTCCAGGTACTAGCTAGGAGCACCTGCCAGGTACTACCTAGTAGCACCTGCCAGTTACTAGCAAGCAGCACCTCCGAGGTACTAGCAGGCAGCATCTCCCAGATACCAGCAAGCAGCACCTCCCAGGTACTAGTTACCAGCACCACTCGGATACTTGGTAGCAGCACCTCTTAGGTATTAGCTAGCAGCTCCTGTCAGATACTGACTAGCAGCACCTCCCAAGTACTAACAAGCAATACTTCCGAAGTACTAGCATACTAGATACTAGATACTAGCAAGCAGCACCTTCCAGGTACTAGCTAGCAGCACCACCCACGTACTAGCTGGCAGCACCTGCCTGGAACTATCTAGCAGCACCTGCCAGGTACTAGCTAGCAGCATATTACGAACACAGGTAATGAATGACCTGTGACCTGTCGTAATGATATTTGGAGCAAAACAAACTCAGCAGATAGACTATAAAGTATATTTTATCTTCACCCACTATATACCAATATGTACACAAGGTACAAATGGAATAGTAATAAGTGTACACGACGGTAACAAATGGCAAAGCAAAAGCCAGAGAGAGTGCACCGTACTCAACCAGCAGGTAGGCAAGTCTGCCAAATGCTAGTGAACCACATTGCTTTCAGCTTTGGCGGGCTTGCCTGTGATTGGTCAATGAACCAAGGTACTGATTTAACGACAGGTACCTTATTGATCGTTAAACCCTTAGCATCCGGTTCGCTGGTTGGGAAGCAGCCTATTTGAGAGTGTGAAATACGCGGAATAAACAGGAGAAAAAAAGAGCTAAGCTACCCATATGGTCCCTAACATATCCTAAACTAAATTAAGTGCGAGAAAAGGAATCGGACAGCTTATTTTCCTTGCAGGCAATATGTGCGACTCTGATATTGTAAGGTTCCAGCCTGAGATTCCATCTCATCAGATGTGTGTTGTAGTTTTTCTTGGAGTTGAGGTAGATCAGTGGATTGTGATTGCTGTAGACTGTGACTACTTGGGACGACTGTTCTAAGTAGACTGAAATGATCCACTGTAGTTATCAGAGCGAGGGCTTCTTTCTCAATGGTGGGGTAAGACCTTTGGTGAGGTTGATACTTGCAGAGAAGTAAGCCACAGGCTGTGATGAATGGTTTGAAAAACCGACAAGTTGAAAATTGAGACACTTATGCAGCATATGGGAATCTTTATTCAGGAAACGTTTCGCCACACAGTGGCTTCATCAGTCCAATACAAAGAGGAATGCGTAAGGAGAGGAGGAGAATGAGGTAATCAGTCCTCAACCTGGAGTCGATGTGTTCAGTCCATCAATCTTGTAGATTGATCTTGTAGATTGATGGACTGAACACATCGACTCCAGGTTGAGGGACTGATTACCTCATTCTCCTCCTCTCTTACGCATTCCTCTTTGTATTGGACTGATGAAGCCACTGTGTGGCGAAACGTTTCCTAAATAAAGATTCCCATATGCTGCATAAGTGTCTCAATTTCCAAGCCACAGGCTGCAAGCACTCTTCCCCAGATTTTTGTAGGAGTATTGCCCTACCTCTGATTCGCATGCATCACCCTATAAATTATAAGGTTTTGAAAAATCGGGAGACAGGACGATGGGTGCAGTACAAAGTAGCCGTTTGGCTTTATTAAAAGATTCTTGGCACTTTGGGGTCCAAAGAAATTTTTGTTTCTGATGGCAAGGGAGGTTAGGGGGCCTACAACTTCTGCAAAGTTCATACAGGATTGTCTGTAGAAACCTATCATCCCTAAAAAGCGCTGGAGCTATTTTTCTATCATGAGGTACTGAGTAATTCTTAATGGTAAGAATTTTAGTAAATTCAGGGACTACTTTACTACTACCTACTTCATGGCCCAAAAAAAGAAATAGTAGACTGGCCAAAGGATGACTGACACAAATTGACAGTTAACTTTAAACTCTTAAAACTTCTCAAGAGAGCTCAACTCAAATACGACCAGGCTGCAGTAAGATGGGGAAGAAGGATGGAGAAAGATGGAAATATTGGAAAAGGATGGGAAGGTGAAGGAGAGGAGGGTAAGAAAGGTAAGTGCCCCAACCACAATGGTTCAGGTGGTACAATGTACTGCAGGCTCGTATGGAAAGGGATGAAGGACGTCGGTACTTGGCTCCCAGGAAGGGGTGTCGAGGTCGATGGCAGCAAAGAAGCAGGAAAGGCAGGTGAATGGTTGGAGGAAATCATGTTAATAACTATATCCGTTTTGGACAGCGCAGAACTTCGTTCTGAAGAGAATGCATCACTTGATAAGGATACCTGCCGGGAGAAGCAGGGTTCTTGAGGACGCGGAGTACCTCATCAGTGGTGATGCTGCTTCCAAATTTACAAACGAACTTAACAGTGTCATCTTGAAGTCCCTGGGCGAGTTCTGGGCGAAACATTTCGGCGGTAAACTGTGGCGTGGTATAGAACAAGATACTAGGTATAGAGAAGTGTGAAGACTCAGTAGCAGAAGCAGGCGAGGTTCTTGACTGGACAGTGGCAGTGTTGTTGGAAGGCGAGGTCGTTGATTGGTTTTGGCAGTAGTGGCGGCAGGAGATGGAGGCAGTTTTCTCATTGGTGGGAGTAGTCAGAGGCTCGGCGGGAAGCGAGGCCTCTGATTGGCTCTTGGCAGTGGTGGTGGCTTGAGGAGGAGGTGGTCTCTCATTGTGGATTCCGAAGTAGAGCAGGTGGCGTCTGCAGATAAATATCTTGCAAGTCATCTGGTTGCTCGAAGCTGACGATTTTCGGAATTATCTTCAAAATATTAGCTGAAGAGAACTAGCTGGGTAGTGAATGATGGCACGCTTCTCATCGGGTTCGTAAATAGCCAGGTCTAAAACACATCCGTTTCTTTTTTGTTTAATACGGAGCGTTATTGTTATATTTTACAACATTGCAGTAACCTGCATGATGACAAGAAAGTAGAAAGGTTGCAGAGGTGTTGGCTCTACTGTGACTGGCTGGTGTTTTTCATCCAGGATGCACATCAGCGGTATTTTTTAATTTATTTGAAGGCAGGAGGAACAAGAAATTGCTTGCACGCTGCTTCACAATGGAGTGTACAGCAGAGTGTGATCTACACCTCCGTCATATTTCATCCAGAAGCCAAAGAAAATTCCAGTCTTGGAACTTTTTGATAGCACCTCATATGTTAAAAGATCAAATTTTCACTGGATAATGTGTGGCTGCCATGTGTTATACTTTTCCATGTCATGACTTGATAAACATCTATCAGAGCGAAACGTCGTCCAGTGAAAACTTGTTCTGCAACATGTATTTTTTCTTAAAAGTATCAGTACTGTCAAAGTCACATATTACCATTTAAAATTATTACTGGCGAGTAGGGGGGGGGGGGGGTTATGGGATATTACGAGAATTTTGGGATGCAAATTAATTTACCCATTATAAAGAAACACAAATGAATATTCCTAAAAACAACGGCTATTCGGAGGATTTAGATATATAACGTTGAAGAAAATCTCTTAAAAAATTTGTTAAAAGAGAGGAAAGTAACAAAATTCTGTATGAGAAAAAAAATATGGCTCTTACAATTCACTTTCCAGTTTTGGTTTTGACAACACAACATCAGGTCCTGATCCATCGGAGGCCTGGTCATGGACCGGGCCGCGGGGGCGTTGATCCCCGGAATAACCTCCAGGTAACCTCCAGGTAACAACAGTGATATTATTGAAGGTGTTTTAGCAAAGCTACCTGGACGTTACCTGGAGTCACTTCCGGGACAATTTCCTCATATCAGTTCCTGATCAGCGGGCTTTTGGGTGCACAACGGTAAGCTGTGCACAACGAGCACCAAAAGGCTGATCAGGCCAGAAACTGGAACGTATGCACCATAGAACGGCTGATCAGGAACTGATTTGAGAAAATTGTGGAGTTCCGCGTCGTGTGAAGTTCTGATTATTCTTCGTCCTCAGCTCTTTTTCCCAAGAACCCCTCAAGGAAGGTTCCTTAAAGTTGGTGAGGGGGCCTCTTGATTTAGAGAATTGATTTGTGCTCCAGTTCCCCGAATTAAGCCTGAATGCCTTCCACAATCCCCCTCCCCAGGCGCTGT